TAAATACAAACATGTTGATCTTTAATGAAAGCTGATAAATCTCTTTCATTGTCACATACGAGAACTTCATTCCACGTACGACGTAACACTTCTAAATTTACAGTTAGAATAAAGTTGAAAATGTTATTTACAAAGGATTCTAACTGTATACAGAAAACTACGGGTGCAGAATCTACCCGTAAGTTCAGGCGCTAGCCGTGCCGCTGATAAGAAACGTTTTCAAAAATCTTTGAAAAAGAATTATTGAAAATCAGAACTTTTCTGTGCTACCAACTAAAGTAATGCGCAAAAGACAAAAATAAACGTTTCATTGATATTTATCTCTAAAATATATTATACGAAGCATTGATGAACGCTGGTCCGTTCTTCTCGCAGCTCCTTTCACTGTCATTCTGTAGTCCACTTCTCTACTTCATTCGTATGGTGATCACGCGTTATGAAACTTACTTTACTTTAGCTCGTGAAGTGAACAATCGGTATTGGAAACCTACCTTACCTTACCGCGTTTGAGATTTCTCAGAGGAGAAATCCAGTACGATAACCAAGGATCCCAGATTTTCTAATTTTGGAAGAAAAAATTCTGATTTTTCGAATTTTTTCTGCCTCATTTCTGCACTTTTTTCTTCTTAGGTATGGTTTCTTGATTTTTCTTGATCTTGAGTTTCTTTTTTCTGAGCTTTTTCTGATTTTCATGTTTTAGTTCCAATATCCCTGCTGATAACTCTTCTTAAAAATTTTCACGGTGCCACCGCCGTCGTCTCAGAATATTTTCTTCTACAGTTATGTTTCAGCAAACGTCTATTTTGCTAAAGTTTTTCTGAAAAATTTCCCAAATTAAAAGATTTTTCATTGAAGAACAGTGAGAGAAAAATTTTCCTCTTAACTGTTTTGGGAGACAAAGTGGAAGAAAGCATGCTTTTGTTAAATTTTGCTTAAATTGGTTACCAAATCTGGACAAGAACTCAGACGAAATTCTTGTGGGAAAAGAGACTATAAAAGAGAAAATTTTTTTTCAAAAGCGGGCCGGTCGTACGCCCCTCCGTTTACCACAGCACTGTAAAGCCTATACGTCTGAGAAAAAGTAGGGAGAGTGAGAACTTCGATAAATACTTTGTTACCTCTTCTGTATCACAAAATCCTTCGGAAGATTTTGCCTTTCCAGCTATATGACGATCAAACGCTCCTAAGGCCATGATTACCGCTTGTTTTTTCTATTTGATAAAACTGCTTCGTTAAGCGGTATCTCCATTAATCCAAAAAGTTGTATCTGCCGACTAGTGAAAACCTTAACAAGATTAACTCAGAGTATTTGGAATGTATAAGCAACTTCGTTTAACAATAAATTATTCAACTTAAGGTCATCTAGCTCAAATTGAACTGGCTACTTAGTGACCAATGAGAAATCTAAACGTTTCATTGGTGCACATGCATTTTGTATCTGATTTCTTTATTCATAATATAGCTGTCAAAAATTGTCATCAATTGACAGCTGACGGTATATTTCAAAAAGGGCTAACTGCCAATATTAAAAGTATGAAAAATGACAGTATGATGGCATAAAAAAACGAATACTGATTTGATTTTTTTTCTTTGTATGAGCATACGATCTTTTTCGGAGAAGTTGCAATCAAACTGCCTCATAAATGACAAAATGTTTAGCTTTAAAATTCCACAAAAGAAAAGGCTTAAATACTCCCAAACTTGTGTTACGTGGGCTGAGACAAAAAAGTATGCTTATTTCGTGCATGTTTTCGTTTTTGCTCGACTCAGATTCACTGGATGAAAGTGCTGAGTTTGAATCGAAATAAGATGAGATTTCATCTCCTGTTTTCAGTTTTCTCGGCTCTACTACATGTACGGGGATATTCACTGCTTTACACTACAGAGGGCGCTGTTTTTGTGAGTATCTCCGTACATGTAGTAGAGCCGAGAAAACTGAAAACAGGAGATGAAATCTCATCTTATTTCGATTCAAACTCAGCACTTTCATCCAGTGAATCTGAGTCGAGCAAAAACGAAAAAATGCACGAAATTAGCATATTTTTGTGCCTCAGTCCACGTGGCATCGTGCCGCATTGATGATTACATATTAGATGACACTTTTTGGTTTTAAAATTTGATAGAGAAACCGTTTTTCTTGCTGGATACTGTAATTTCGTCTCATGTAGATAGTCCTCTTGATCATACGAAACTAAGACTCTTTGCATTTTCGCTAGCTAAAGCAACAAGGTTGAATCAGTTTTGGCCAAAATATAATGTACTCATTTGTTTTTCTAGATCTGCTAATGTCCGACCATTCAAGTGTTCTTAATACCCGCTCAATAAATCAGAATAGTCATGCGGATACAGACAACATCAATGAGAATGAAGAAGAAATTATTTTGCAACGTCATCGTAAAGATCGTCGAGATTTACAAGCTCAAATACAACAGATGAAAAAACAATTGAATAAAAATGATAAACAACGAAAAAAAAAATTAGATGAAGATATCAAGAAAATGGAAGATGATTTTGATCAAAAATGTCAAGATGAATTAAACGAATATAGGAACAGACAACAAACTGAAGTATCAAATAATCTGTCAACTTTACATTTAGACGGTAGGTAACAGGTTAAGTTGATTTTGAGTTGATGTTAGTTGCATTGCCCCACTCATGTATCTAAAACAAAGATCGAATATTTTTCCTTTGGAGAGTCAAAATTATGTACGTAGCTGGTCACGTTTTATCATCAAGTACTTGATTTTTGTTATCAATCTATGACGAATGTTTCCAAACGCTTCTAGTCACTAATTCTTATTTTGTTTGTTTACTCACTATTCTTTCTTTCACATCTCCAAACATGTCTGTTCTTCTAGATATTCATGATTAATTTTTATTTATTTTAGAGCATACGAATCATATAGAAGAACAAGAATCACAAGAACAATATAAAAAGTCTCGCAAACAACGTCGTTTAGAAAACAAAGAAAAAAAACGAGAATTAGATGTATTAGCATACGATCCAAAAAATGATATCGAATCCCCATTGGCTATTAAACGTCGTCAAGAAACTGCGATAATCGAAAAGAAACTAAATGAAAGGCATTTAAGAATATATCAAGTGACATCGGATGGAAATTGTCTATATGCAGCCATTGTAGATCAATTAAAACGTTCAAATGACAATGGAGTAAGTAGTGATAGTTTTTTCTGTATTCTCCATATATTTTTTAGTCAAAATTTCTTTTCTGTTCATTATACTTTAGCTGAATGAAAATATAAGAAATGTTCAACAATTACGAGAACATGTCTCCTCTCATTTATTATCGAATCGTTTATTATATCAACCATTTTTTCCTGAAGATGATGATTATGATTTGTATTGTAAAAAAATTCGTCATCAAAATATTTGGGGTGGTCAAATTGAATTACAAGCGTGCAGTAAAATATTATCTCAACCAATTGAAATTGTACAAGAAACAGGACCACTTTTAACAATTGGTGAAGAATATTCAAATAATAAACAACCTTTAATTCTAACTTATCATCGATATATGTACACAAATGGAGAACATTACAATAGTACGAGACCGTTAAAATTGAAAGAAAATAATGAACACGATGATGATGAAGAAGATAAATGGGAACAAGTCTAGGATAATGTTGTTGTTGGTTTTTTTATATGAAAAATTCTTTTGTTATTTTCTTTTCTTGTTATGCAGTTTTTTGCTCAACGGTCTAACAATGAGCTACTTGCCATTTTAATCTAGTATATAATTTAAAATCAAAGGTGTTAAGTACATTTGATTGTTTTTCTAGAGAAAAAGAGGATATAACTGTTTTCCATTAGCAAATCGACCGTCTGTTTTTTTGTTTTTTTCTATGTTCAATATTTTTACCAAGATGATGATAGTAAAAACTACTTATTTCTTTATTTGTTTTTTGAATAAAAATGAACACTACCTAATATTTCTTTATTCTTTCCTATTAGACATCTTTCGATTCTATTTTGTCTTTTCTCTATTCGAATATGTTCTAAACACATTAAAAGATAGTGCAAAAAATAAATCAACAAACTCTTATGCTTATAATATTTTGCTTTGTCCTCTCTCTCTGCTGTTGACACTTTACATTTACTTATCTCAGTTTATTTTTATTTTTCAATCGTTCAGATTTATGGACACTAGAATAATTAAAACTTTTCTACTATCTTTTTGTTTTCTAAACGATACATTTTTGTCCAAAAGTTGTTTTTATACTTTTATTTTGTTATGTTTGATCATGGTTTAGTTAAAGATGAGCTAGCAAAATACTGTATAAACATTCTATCTGCAAACTTAACACTAAAGAACATTTATTTTTAGTCTTTTTTATTATTCTAGATTTCTAACAGATAATAATGAAAATTCAAATTAAATGGAGTCGGGTTTTTAAATTAATATTGAGTCTAATTATTCTGTTTATAGTGTGGATATTAATAATCAAATACGGCGATTACGATAATAGTCTTTCATCAAAATGTGATATTAAGCACGCAAGAAGAATTCTAGATGATATTGTATGTATAAGCGATTTTCTTCAATTCAGAAAATCGAATTATATATGTCAGAGGTACAGGAATAAAAAAATTAACTTCTTTCTAATTATCAGTCGATCATTCCATGTAACTCGGTCGAAAATGTGATTCGACACTTTTTTTCGCTACCTTCTTATTTTCATGTCTTTCGAACAGAAGAATGTCAGCAGTTCGAGATTCTCTCTTTTTGTGATGAAAAGTGTGTTTAACAAGATGAGATATGTCGAAAGTCTGTAAGACTCGTGATTATCAAGATATTGCGAAAATATTACACTGATTTTAAAAATTTTCTTCTTTTGACCATTTGATATTACCTTTTTGTTGATGTATCTCGTAACCAAGAACAGCGTAAAGACAGTAAAAAGTTAGCGAAAAAGTGTTGAGTTACATGGAATGTCTTTAGTAGAAATATTAAAATAAACTAACTTTTTTTCTCAATAACGAGGAAACCTATCCAAGTGATACCTTCCGATTTCTTTCGTTCATACGTCGATCGATAGAGGGTATCGAGCTAGTAAAAAGCCTAAAAGAATTTTTCCCCATGACTATTGAAGACCCGATTTTCTGGAAAACCAGTTCTTCAGAAACTCTAGAAAATAATCAAAATCTTTCTTGATGATGCATAATTGGAGCCCGCAAATTTCTGATTAAAATAAGACATCTCCCACCTCTACATGACCTTTCTTTGCAAAGTTATAGAATTTACAATAAAAGCCCTAAATGTTCATTATCAGCTCAAAGCTACAGAAATAAGAAATAAATTTAGGGCTTTTCTTGTAAATTCTATAACTTTGCAAAGAAAGGTCATGTAGAGGTGGAGATGTCATATTTTAATCAGAAATTTGCGGACTCCAATTATGCCTCATCAAGAAAGATTTTGGTTATTTTCTAGAGTTTCTGAAGAACTGGTTTTCCAGAAAATCGGGTCTTCAATAGTCATAGGGAAAAATTCTTTTAGGCTTTTTACTAGCTCGATACCCTCTATCGATCGACATATGAACGAACGAAATCGGAAGGTATTACTTGGATAGATTTCCTCGTAAGACTTTTCGTTAGACATTTTGCATATCAGTTTCTCAAGAACTTTTCTTAATGAACTTTTTGATACGATAAATAAGCAGCGACAACCTTTCTATTTCTGATCAGTATAGTAGTACAGTTGACTGAATTAATTCAATATTCACATTTTTAATCTTGTGCTACATCTACTATATTTAGTTCTGCTTATATTAGACTGCTGATATATGCTTTTCATGCAAAATTAGGATCAAACGTTCGATTTTCATCGAGCTGATGTTTGTTTTATGATTGTCTTTGGTTTGATTAGCCTATTCTTCATTTTGTTTCATTTTAGTGTGCATTATATTCGTTAAATCAAGTAACTGGTTCCTTATGTGATTCTTTGTGTTTTTCTGAAACATTTGCATTACAACATTGTTTACAGTTAACAAACTCAAAAATCATTCTTTTAATGAAAAATGTTACGTCGAATAACTATTCTGTTATAAAATCTAATCGTTTACATTTTGATCATCATCATACCGATTTACTTTTTCATGATGTCATACAATCGATACCAAACGCTTTGCGAACATTTCATGATATCTTAAATTTTACATTGAATAAACGTTTTGCTATGCAATTAAACTCAACCGATCATCATACGATTCGACGAATATATCGACATGATAATATTAAAAATAAATTTTTATTATTAGAAGATTTACATCAAGTATTGGATAAATACAAGGATTATTATGATCGAAGTTTAGCTTCTGATTTAACGGTGGAGTTGAATACTTTATATAGTCTATTAGATCAACATGAATTTTTATTGGCATATTATTATCGTACGAAAAAATCAATGATGCCACATATTTATGGATGGTGTGGTCATTTATATCTCCAAGAATATTTGACACCGTTAAATTCAAAACAGATAGAAAAACAAATGCATAAAACATGGTACAAACGAGTGTGGTTAGCCGAAAAATTATTAGATTTAATTGATAATATTGATAATTCCTTGCATCAAACATTACATTTTTGTGATATGAGTACATAAACAGTCAACAAAATTAATAGTGCTGCAATATTTTGTTTATATTTTTTTAGAATTAGCTAATTTGGGTTTAACTTTTGATGGACAAGTGAAGTTATTAGATTTGGATATGGCTCATTTCGATCGTCACATTCCAATTGAAATGATGAATTGTAGTACGCATGAAGATTGTTCTTATTTTGATTGCAGTGGTTATTGTGATAGAAAAACACAAAAATGTCATTCAAGAAGAATTAATAATAATTTACAGGTAAAAATGAACTCACAAAGAAAGGTTCTCTAATGTTCCACCGCTTTTTATGTAAAAGACATGTGGACATATGCAATCAATGATGCGATTTCAAAATATCATAGTGTACAGTTGTCCATAGGGCTTTAGAAGTCTGTTTCTTAAAAATCACATCTATGTAACCGAACTATTATAACATAAAGGTTGATTTTGATCTTGTCAGTATGCAGAGGACATTGGAAGACCTCTGTGAGAAGATTTTCATGGCTATCGTATAAGTTTTGATAGAATTATAGACACTTTAATTTTCAATAATCGCATAAGTATGAGCCTTTCTGGAAGAAGTGCAAAACCTTGTTAGATATATTCTGAACAATTTTTACATTTCAGTTGCCTCTGAAATTAATTCTTTGGGTACGGGACTCGTATTTAGAGGTTATGCGCTTTTGCACAGATTACAACTTGTATGATCTTCTATCTTTCCTAAGCCATAAGAGTATTCTCTCTTTCTCTTATGTTGCTAGTATCACAGTATTATCGTGTAGTACCATTATACATGTAGATCAAGGGAAAAACAAGGAATTTTGGAAGTGTACGAGAATCTATGGAATCTCTAAATCCAAACAGAATTCTGTAAAATCGCATAGAATCCTAGAACCATTGTTGCCCTCCCCCTCCTTGAGCTGCGGCTACTAGTCTCACAGGCGACCAGACATTAGATGTTATTAGATCTGTGTTATGATATGGGATTCCAAGGTTCTCCATGGAACTACCTGCTGGATTTCATAAGATTCTGCTCCATTCTACTCGACTGTATAATTCCAGAATCGTATTGAGTTCTATGAAGCCTCATGGAATCCGCTGTTTCCCCTTGACGTATACGCCTTATTTCAGGTTTTTATGAAAAACTCATATAGGTCTTCCAACGTCTTCTGCAGACTAACAAGATCCAAATCAACTTTTATTTTGTTGTTTTTAAACTTTATTTATTTAAGAAAAGAATGAATACAAGTTTAAATAAGTGAAGAGAAAACAAAAAGAAAGAGGCAAACCCATTGTATCTTTTTGTCTTGCATCATAAGAAAAGATGCAACTTTTATCTTAAAACAGTTTGGTCGTGGAGATGTGATTTTCAAGAAACAGACTGCTAAATTCTTATCGGCAGCCTTCACTTTTATCTTCTATGTAATTTCATCGGATAGTGATTATATGTCACCATTTATGGTTCACTTTTTTTCAAAAGCTCAGAAACAACTGAAAATATGTAATACACAAAGCAAAATATGTCTTCGTAAAAGCCAATACCGTACGAAATTAGATTTTTGCTATTAAGTGCAAAATATTTGAAGATTAAGATTATAAAGAAAGAATTATTGTTTTTCTTTTAGGTATTATGTGAGAAAATATTTTTAGCCCACAAGGAGAATTTTGATCATGGGCTCTTGGATGATATTCCATTCCGAATGAATGATGTATTAACAAAGTATTTGAAACAATGTTCACTACCTGGTCGGTATAAAACGACATTAATTCCAAATGGTGCGCCGATAAGTTTAATGAGACTGATGCAAGCAATGTTTGAACAGGAAACAAGAAATATTTCTTAGTAAAAGAATGAGTATTTTACATATGTCAGTAATATATGTTATGTTATTTTTAGAAATATTTTTTCTTTTATTTTGTATACTCATATTGCTCAAAGCACAGTTCCACTTGCTGTTGATATTTTTATTATTGTAGTATTTGCTCAATAATGATAGAATTTTACTTTTTGTATTCTATTCGAAATAAATAGAGTTTCAGTTGTCTGCATCGTTAGTTGTCTAATTTTCTTATATAACAAAGTTTAAGTTTTTATCCAGCTGAACTGTTGCAAATAACATCAGATAGTTAAAACTTTTGAAGTCTAAAAATTAATTTGTTTTTCTACATTTTTTCAGATACAAACATTACTATCAGATTTTTACAAGAAATACCGATGGAGTTATGAAATTTTTAGGTTAGATTTCACAAAAAGTTAAAAAGTCAAAACTAAACTCAGATTTTAGCATAATTCGATGGAACACGTTAAACTACATAGTTTTTTTTGTTTTTTGAAATAATTTCTTCTACGTTTATAAATTTTTAAACTTAATTACTGTGTCAGTATTGATCTCTTGTACGTACATTTGATTTCTTTTTCGTTTTAGGCGATACAATCATCTCATTTGAAATCATAACATGAGAAAATATTGTAAAGAAATTACGATTGATTAAATTCAATACTAATTATTCAAAAGTAATAAAAGATATTTTAATCTTTTCCAATGTAATTAATAATGTGACATGGGAGTTAGAATTGACACTTTTGTCTGAATAGATAAATGGAGATGACGGTGTGGATGAACACTATGCCATTAATGAAAATGCTAAAACTGAAAAGTTGAAGTTAAATCTATTGAAGTTACAAAGAACGAACGAAGACACAGCATAAACATCTAAGGTTGCATGAAAGTATTAAACTCTTTTATTAAACTTTATTAACTACAAAATATAGAGAAGAAAGAATAAAAAAATAAAAAATCTACTAGATAAATGAGCCAAACTTCACTCTGAATAAAGCTTTCTATAATTTTTATATTTATTTTTGCTAGAAAAACGGTCTCAGACTATTGTTTGACTGATATATGAACACATTGAACGAAGATGAAAAAACATTTTTGACCTGAAATACTTAAACAGTGAACGGTTGTGAAGAGAAACCTATTAGATATTTGATGGGAAGAAATTCTTTTTTATTGTTGAGTTTATGTATCGTTATATAACCTTTATTTTTTGTGTGTATTTATGGATTTCAAAGAAAATAAAACTTTGATATAAAAAAAGTATTTGTTTATCTATTTGCGCATCCAGTACTATACTGTGAAAAAAGCCACTGTTTATTGATTAAACTAGTTATATTCACTAGATTTAGTTAGTAAGACTAATGAAAATACGGACCAGAAGAGAATCTGATGTTCAGACTAAAAAATATACTTACATGATCAAATACTCTTATTGGGGAAAAGTATATTTAGAAATTGAGTCACTTAATACTATCTATCTAAGCTGCCTTTAGAATTTAGTAGTTTTTTCAGAAAATTTTTTACATTATTATCGATATTTGAATTAGTTTGAATGATACACACGGAGAATCTGAATACAAAGTTTTTTTTTTGTGAAATATGTTTTAGATTTGAATTAATAATTTTTTCTAAAACATTTAACATGTTATTCATCCTGCATCATCTTACACTTTAGTTTGGGACTTGAGCACATTTTCTTTTTATAGTGAACGTCTTTCTAATATACACTATCCACGTAAGTAATGGACAAAGCGATATATTCTCTGGGTCTTAAGAGTTTTCGACCTTGTCCTATCTGATGGTACCATTAGATTCGGTTGATTCTGGCTTGACACTGGACCTCTCTAAAAACCGAGTTTTTGAGCATAGGACTTTTGGAAATATTGAAATTAAACATATTCACCGTATCATTTACTTTTTAAACACGCTCATTCGACAGAGTCCACTTCTAGCTATTTAAAATAATTTTTGTTTTGGAAAAATGCAAATTCTAAAGGTTTTTCAAGGATTTTTGGCTGATTTTCCGGAAAGCCCCTTACTTTCTTCTTGTGACATACAGGTGTGAGGAAACAACATGGAAACATAGCTTATCGACCCTCCTGATCATCATGGTGATGTCTGTTTTCTTTCTGACAGTGTACTTACAGTGGCTGAGGGTCGCAAAAAACGATCTTTTAACTTTCTATTTTATGACGAAACAGATAACGGCGAATATTTCGAATTTCAATATTTCCGAAAGCTCTGTCCTCAGAACTCGGTTTTCAGAGAAGTACAGGTTGCGTAAAAATGTTTTTCCAGGGGGGTAACGCTATAATTGCGAATAGGGTAAGTAATGAATTTTATACCAGATGAAAGCCCGTCGAAAACGGGATTTATTGATGCTAAATAGTAAGTTTTATCAAAG